CCTTCATTTATAGCTAACTATCCTTTGCTGTGCAGCTGAGTATCTGAGACCAGCATGAAATGGGAGGAGGCAGCAGTAGAAATTCCATCTGTTACAGTGACAGAGCACCCAAAAGGAAGTTTACCCTACTTTTCAAGAATTCATAGTAAGGGACGAGGATAACCTTACAAACTTCCCAGTTCATAAAAGTATGAATGAAAGATGCCCCTACAGCAGCCATTAACCCCTTCACTATGGGGACACCCCTTTTAATTTTTTATGTGATTAACATCAAACAATTTTATTCATCTCAGAAGGGAAGCCATACACAAGTGGTTAAATAAGCAAAATTCTTGGGGTCATGAATTGGGTCTGTGCAGTTGGGCTCAGCTGATGAGATGACTTTGACAATCATATTGGACATATACTGTAAGTAGCAGAAACTCCACATTTAGAATAATAGTTTAATAGAGTTTGTTGAAGAAAATGCTAAGTAATTCTAAGATAAAAATGATTACTGTAAACCATCTGCCAATTTACAGGTTGAGACCTGACTACACTCAGGCAAAAAATAGGGAGTCATCCATTCTGCAGTTTCATACTCTCCTTCATAATGCTGATGTAAGAAGGAAGATGACGTTCAAGTTACCAACTCCTGATTCTCTGATACAAATATAGCAGATACCAATAACCTGTAAGAATCCGTCTCTCCATAATAGGATCAAGAAAGATCCTTAAATACTAAGAAAGAGAGATTAATATAAAGATTCTCTCTCAAAGTCCTAGCCAAGGAATACTAATGATACAGTCCTCATGTACTGTATTAGCAGATTTATTGTCCTTCTGAAAACCCCAAATAAGAAAACAAAACAGCAGTGAAGTCAGAATAGTTTCCAATTTCTGTAACTAATAAAATCCATAAGTGTCTCTTAAGATGATTTATACTGTCTCACAGTCAAACCTCTTGGAGAACCAATTAACACTTATGAACTAATGACAAAGATACTTAACATTGAAAAAATTATGCTTGCAAACAGATGTGCTCATGGCTTAGTGACAGCTTGCCACACTGAGTTCATGAAAGTGTTAAAAACTCGCCTACAGAACATTCATACATCTCCATCAAAACCTTTGGGAGAAAACCCACATGACAATTATGTACAATAGCAGACAACACCACCAAATCAATACATTACATCCCTCAAAGGCTAGTACCTCTGCTGAAGGTCTTCCTGCTTCCTTAAACACTTCTCTTTAATATCCTGTGTTGGAGTTTGGAGACTATGTCTTCTGGCTTTAGATAATCTGAGGGAAATTGCAAATTCATATCCTCATATGTCTAATACAGCCATGGCAATAAATTTTCTTTGTGCCGTTCATTTTATTCTCAAACACATTCACACAGGATTGAGACACCCTTATAACAAAAGCAGGGGCAGCAAAATAATGTCAGTTGTGACATGACAGCAAAACAATGTCAGTTGTGACAAAGTAAATAAAATATTTCCCAATTTCCTACTACAAGTATAGTAATACATTCCTAGGGATCATAAGTCTTAAGAGCAACAGAGGTTGTCCTCCAGATATTTGTCACAATTGTCCCAAAATTAGCCAAGGTTTATCCAAAAATATTCTTTGTAAAAGTCCAACTAAATACTATACGTATGTCAAAAATATGTACTAATTATTTCCATAACTTCTTATAAAAAGTCAAGAGGATTCATGTTACAAGAGCAGTAATGTACCCAATCAGTCTGTCAGCTTCTAAGGTTGAAATCTCAATAAGTCTTCAACCATCATTAGAATAGATCCCCGTGATTCCATTTCAGTAAACACTTAAGAATTTCCTCGTAACTCCAGGCTTGAGTCATAGTAGGCCAGGAAAACAAAACCATCAAAGGTGAGACTAAATTACTCACTGTGAAATCTGATGATACCTTAACATAGAGCCAGTAATGCCAGTTCCCAGGCAGCTCAGCAACTGTATCCAAATAAGACTCTTAACAAACCCATACAAATATCTTTAACATTAAATAAATAATCCTTTGCTAAATATTTACACTTAGAACTGTGTGGCTCACGAAGATATTTAAAATTGTGCTTAAATAATCAAAACAAAACACTTATCTGCAAAAATGTGCAATGAACAGTGGGACCACTTACTCATTGTGAGGTGTGGACAGGAATGGATGAAGTCGATAACTGAAAGGCCTGTATGGCAGACCCAGAGAACAGGTGCTGTGCAGTAATTTGTGACATCACTGCTCCCTCCGATCACCTCCCTCTTTGTCTGAGAGGGATAAAACCTAAGACTTTACCCTTTTCTTAAGACATTAATTGCTTTTGGGGAGATTTAATAATAGTTTAGTCTGTTCCACAACTAATGTCAGGGTCTCCTGGACCTTGGAATGACAGCTTAGTGAGGAAACATACTTAAACTGTCTAGTGACTAACAGCTGGCCATAAATGCACATTTAAAAAAAAAAAAAAAAAAAATGGTGTACCTGAAGGTGTCACTTGATCACCCTTTGAACGGATTAGTCCCTCATTTCTTAACCTGTCTGACTGAGTACAGTACTTGTACAGTACAGTACTAGAAAACAACTGTTCTGTCACATCTACCATATGTTCAGCCTGTGATTACTTTTGAGTTTTAGTTTTCATTATCTCTTGCCTTTTATTCTATTTTCTTCTGCTGTACTGTTGAAATCTGTTTACAATCAATAGTTAGTATTTACCGCAAGTCAACATCTATGGATTCTTCCTTGATATGAAAAGGAAAAAATCACCGAAAAAATTAAGTAAATGTATCCAGATAAATAGGAAATACACAAATAAAATGTATACTTTACACTGATTTCCATCAACAACCTAAACATTTGGTATAAAATCTAATCAGACTAGACAAAAGCAGGCATGGTGGATGGTCTATGACAGGCATGAACAACCTTTCCTCAGTCATGGGCCGAATTACGATTTAAATATTTTTCTGCGGACCAACCCACCAAAATTTATATCCTAAACTAACCCAAAAGTAATGCTAACATTGTAATAGCACGGACAGTGAAGCAGTTCATCCTCACGTCCACCTTACGATATTTTCAGTTTACATTCACAATCTTTTTCCCATTTATGAAACAAATCCTCATAATAATTTTTTTGGTAATATGTCAAAGTTTCTTGACATTTAACAGAAGATGAGTGAAACAGTCTGAATTCGTTGATTTTTCCTACAATTACAACATTTGTCTTACTTATGAGACACCCACCAGAATAATGACAATGTTAATCTTGGAATATGAGGAACTACAATGAAACAACCTATAGGCAAATCTCTTTTTATATATGTGCCTATAGGTTGTCCCATAGTAGTTCCTCATATGCCAAGATTAACATTAATTTTGTCGGTTTCAACCCAAAATTAGATTTCCTTTAAAATCTCAGGGTACTCCTGAGAATGCAGATTCCAAATCTATGGTCCACAATTCGATGGCAGGGTAATTATTGGTCGAAATGATACTTAGAATATTATAATTACATTATTTCAATGATAGTTAAACCGTGTGACCACCACCCGTGACCCCAACCTTTGTTAATTCCCAAGTGACCCACTGCCATATAGCAGCTAATCCATCAAACAGTCCGTGCCAAACTTGGCCTATAAGCTCACACAAGTTAAAATGTTTATATACGTAGTTGACTATATAAACTGTACTGTACTTATTTCACTGTTACATTTTTGTGGTTACCTACGCTTAGGTGATGAAACAGTAACGAATTGTGCAGAGATTATTTTTTAAATAAACATTGCTTTACTCACGATAAACTGGCTGCATCTACCTGAACTGCAGGCCACATTAAATAGAATTTCTCAATCACTCCACGGGCCGCACAAACACATGGTCTGGGCGGGTTGCCCATGCCTGGTCTATGACAGTGGGGTGTGTGAGTGACACTGCCTCCTCACTCTCACCTTGAACAATGTTTCCTGACTTTCCACTTCAAATTCTTCCTCTACCACCAATGATGGCTGTCATTTAAGGGTCAAGTTTATTTATTAATGATATAAAACTTAAAGATAAATTTTCACTCTTCTCTATATCTTATTATCACTATATAAACTAATTATAAATGAAGCTATCTCCCTTGAGAAATGTTCAGTTAACAGAGAATTATTTCTTTTAACCCAATTGGTACAGTATAGTGTATGGTGCAAATATTGAGCCCAAAACATACTATACACTTTCAGTTACAGTATTTCATGTAAACATACAGAATTCCATTAGAACTTAGAATCGTCAAGAGATTACAAGCACTGCATTACTTAATAATTGGGAACACCGAGAAACACGGAACAGTATTTCCAGCTGCAGACATGTCAAAGCCAACAACTTTCTTGTTGCATCCCACTAAATAAAATAGAGGTAGTCTCCAGTCAACATGCCATGCCTGAAAACCTTATTATTACAAGCCAATCATCACAACATGCAAATATAGATATCTTATAGTCAACTCTATCACTGCAACTAATGACATTTTAGCAGTATATAACGATGTAACATAAATATCACAATTACTTACCTCAATAGGTTGAGTTGAACTGAAAATGGTTTGTTCAATAGCTCAGGCTCATCCTGTATGAACATGGGCCTGAAGCTACAAGATTATGGGTATGGCATGGTAAGTGACTAATTAACTGTCTGTTAATCAGTCAAAATTGCTGGTCTTTATATGAAACTCCAAATACAGAATGTACAGTATGTAGAATTTGGGAGTGACTGTGCTAAAGCTGTATGTGGAAATGGAACTTGGAAAGAGAAAGACAGGCACACAATCATTTTTTCTTACTGTCTCTTTCTAACCCATTCTACAGTACAGTATAATGTTATGTGACACTCTTCCCTACAGTTTAATGAAGGCCAGAGACCAAGAGGAAGATAATTCACACTTTGACTTTCTCTTAACACAATAGTAGATGCACCCTGTAAAGAAGAATATGAGATGTCTTTAATTACACTTACCAATTGATGAAGGAGCTTTTGCCAGCAGAGTGATTGCCCATGAGCATCACATTGATCTTTTTTCTTGGAGGCAGAAGTTTAAGACCCAGGCTCTCGCCAATAGCAACCAGCCCTGTCAAGATAATAACATCATAATTTCTGCCATTGCAATAACAAAACAATGATGTCTTTATATCATTTCCACAACCAATTTATAAATGTTTTGATGTAGAATATCAAGTAGTTTGGACATACAACAATTGAGGGAATTAACTGATATGGGCTGCTTAAAAATATTCTGAATAAAAATAATATATCAGTACATACAGGTATTAAGATTATCAACAACAATATTTCAAGTGTGGAATTGAAGTATGCTACAATGTAACTTATAGACTCAAGTATTCACAGATATGTTAAAGAGGGAGCTGACTCTCAGTATGTATATGTTACTGATTGATTGATTTATGGATATTAGGGTCAAAGCCAAGCACTAGAGCCAATGGGCCATTCAGTGCTGCCAGTATATGTTATGCAGGGTGCAGAAAAAGTGCTGTTGCTATAATGGACTGTATGAAATGAATAGATGTTGATGCTTCAACATGTATAATGCATAAAAAAAGATTAGACAAGTACTGGAAATGGCAATTTATAAACACTAGATGGATATATATGCAATTTGCCCTAAATTCCCATTATCATAAACAAGAGTGGATCTTGTGAAGCACCCTGAAGGCTGCAGATTTCACCCATGTTCCAAGGAATCCTCCATTTGTGTGACTGGGACTACATTCCAACAAACAACTAGAGAACTTGAAGTAGTATATACCTCTCCTGACTCACCCACAGCCCCTAAAAGGGATAGCAATGGTGAATTAGTCACCAGAGGCTGAAAGCTAAAGATGTATCACTGCTGTGCACTCCATGACCCAAGCAGCCTAGAAAATGGGAAGCTGATTCAACTCGGCTCCCTCAGGGAGGAGGAAAGTATGGATAAAAAGAGTCATACAAAGTTGTAAAATGGGACTTCTGAGTCAATCCTTCATTTACATCTGATTCATGTAAGCTTAAGATAGTTAATGCACAGTGGAGAGGATGGAGATATAATCTTAATGCCAGGCTCAAGTGAGTCATGCAATCCTAGTGCATGATGAAACCATTCATATATCTCAAGCATAACACCCTTTCTAATGACCAATTTTCCTTCTAGACGAGTGACCATGTGGGACACAACCCAGCTCAGTAAGTTTTAATGTCTTCACACCCAGACCTACTATAATAATCAGATTGTCAGTTACACCAGTCTGGCAACTGAGTGTAACCCTAAACTGCTTTTCCAGACAAAGGGAATATCCAGATTCCATGTATGGAAAGTACTTTCTCTGGGCTGACAAGACTACAAGCCTTGGGCTGACGAACAGTAGTGATGAAATATGAGTAACAAACCACTGCTTCTCCTCAGAGCTTGAAGGTCTAATACCTAAGAAAAGGTACGAGGAGCAATGCTCCCATACAGTACCTAAGTCTCTGACCGCTCAAAATGAAGTACACTTAAACAGATGCCACCTTGCAAGAGTGCCAAGCTAGAAAATGAGAACAATATAAATAAAAAAGTAGCTACACACAAGTCAAGTGATTAGAAGTGTGTGTGTGCGTGTGTGTGTATATATGTGTGTGTGTGTGTATATATATATATATATATATATATATATATATATATATATATATATATATATATATATATATATATATATATATATATATATATATATATATATATATATATATATATATATTTATTACTTTTACTGTACTGTATTTCATTGTAGATTTTTTTTTTTTTTATTTATTTATTTTTTATCTATGTCGGACTTACGACCTGGATTTGGGTCCCTAACCCCGTCGTAAGTCGGGGTCTAGCTGTATATAAAACGTACCATTTTCAGCATCAGTGTAGAGATTATGGCATTCCTTCAGTATCTTCTCATTCACTGTGACTGTAGCTGCTTCAGCAGTGTTAGCTGCATTACGATGTTTCAGCTTCCCTGACATTCTGTAATGTTAGAAGAGAATGAAACACAGCACTCAACTTAACGCCTGTATAAAACATATATACCCCCACTGCAATTAACATCCTAGACTCCCTCTTCTGAATCCTACTGGTGTACAATGTCTAGTAATACAACAAAGCAGCTCACCCATATTTTGAAAAGTAGTCAATTAAAAGCCAAACCTGGTGTGTCTTCACTGTGTTGGCCTAGACACCAACTTTTGTAAATTCAATATCCCCATAACTTCACTACCAAGGTACCAGGTACTAAACCTGAAATATTTTTACTGCCCACAAAATAACTCTTGTGCCGCCACTGAATCACTAATGAGGCAATCATCCCCATTCTTACTAACCAGGTAAGACGCTCTCCTCAGTAATCTTTTGAAACAGATACAAACTGTACTTTCCTCATATGTCCTAACTAAAACATCCCTGACCCTAATACTGTACTGTACTGTATTCTGCTATGAGCCATTAAAGAAATGGCTGGCCCATAAGCCAAGAAAAATATTTGCATTTATTTTAGTGATGATGATTTTGATACAGTATAACTTTTGAGACCAAAAGTTCAAGTGACAAAAAATGTAATGTGCAAAGGATTAACATATGATTTGATTACAATAAATCCAGCAGAAATTAATTGACTGCAGAAACCGCTTACCTACAGAAAGCTTAAAAACTATCCCTCCACTGTTAAATCATCACCACCAGTCCACCTCCACTGCTTAACAACCATTTCTCAAGTTTGTGTGGGTTAGCTGTGATTATCTAATGCTGTCAGAGTGCCCTGGTTGTCATTAGACAAATCTGAAGCAAGTTTTATGGCTGGATGCTCTTCCCATTGCCAACTCACTTTCACCTTTTAGAGTGAGAACTGGGCATTATATGCAAGACTTTCAAGTGTTCTCTTAGCTGGAGAGACAGGGTTACACTCCAGGAGGTTATCAAACATTACCCATGTACCGCCTTAATTTAAATTTTTTCCCAATCTGGCTAAACCTGGGATGCCAAATGAGTGTCCCACAAAATTAAAATGTCCCAATATTACTGTACATAGAAAATATAATACTGTAATGTACAGCGCATGAAATAGTGGATTAAATTCTGTATAATGAACTACCATTGACTCCAATGTGCTTATGCGAGTTTAGCCCAACAGTTTTAAACGCCCCTTTCCTGCAACCGGGATCGTTGTGTTGACAACCAGTTAATTTGACTCGTGAAGGACACCACACTACAGCACTCGATGGGGAGGTGTGACAATAAAACAGAGTTATAATAATTAAATTACACTGTACCCTCGTTAATTTGCATTGTTATAATTCAAGTTTCGGCTTAATTTGTATGCCTTTTTAAAAAATTAATTTAACAATTTGAATTCGGAATGAATCCAAAATTAATGAGCAGTTCCAAAATGTCGTGCGGCGATGAGCTTGAAAATTCAGGCCTGTCGCTTCGCTTCAACTCTAACCACATGGCTCCCCGGGCGGGCTTGAAATTTCAGTTTCGTCAATTCAACTGTGCTCTAGCGGATTGAGTCTTGCTGCTATCATGTGAGACACAAGGTTATGCAGCGAGTAATTGAACAAGAAAGTTCTGAACTCGGTCAACAAGGGTATAGTGTAATTTGTTTTACCGTCACACCTCTCCGTTGAGCGCTGTAATGTGGTTGTAAAAAATGACGACTCCTGTTGACGGAAAGGGGGTGTTCCCCAATTACAAGCAAGCTTTACATGAAAATTCAATACTGTACAGTATTACAAAAATTGTTTTTTATCTAAAGAACATCCAAGACAAGGCAGAAGAATTCAAACTTTCTTAAATTTTGTTTTTATATTTTTTGTATCTTGAACACAAATCTATACCAATTTGCCACCTCCCAATGAAACCATATTGACTTGTTTATATTTATGACTTGCTGTAAATAAGATGAACCATTAGGTCAATTTAAACTGGATTAGGAAGGTTTGGTTAGGTAAGATATGGAGAAGTTGCTGGGAAGCATTTTTCAATACATGGAGTTCAAACATGGTGTCTTGCTCAGAGAACATATTTATGGTATTCAGAAACAAAAATAGGAAACAAAATTAAAACATAATTTAAGAAAGTGACTAAATTACTGGTCAAGGCAAAATAGCCAGACAGGGTGTTTTGGGCTATTTTGCCAGTCCATTGTTTATGTAATAGAAGTAATGGTATACTGTAATAATATATACTGTATTATCAACCACATAACTAATTAAGTTATCTTAATTAAACAAACCTACTTAACCTTACCTAACTTCCTAACGGGGGCCTTCACCCCACGGCATATTAAATATCTCGCTTGTAGGTCGTTTGCAAACTATACAGAAGAAAAGTGTATTAGAACTGTCTAAGCTATTGATTGCATAGATAATATTCCCAATATTGGGTAAGTGGCAACAAATACAATAGTTATATCTTTTCCAGTACCGGTAGTTTTCAGATACTCACTCACGATATCTCAGTTATAGGTAAAACGCACTAAAACTGTCATAGAAGAAAACCGTCTTTGACAGAAATTATCATAACACACACCAAAAAATAAAAAATAAATAAATAACTAAAAAAAATCCAAATATGGTCCTCTACTATAAATTGACCCACAGCTCAGCCTCACCAGCTCTTGATTTTTACTGGGTGGTGGACTAACCTAACCTATCCTACCCTAACTTAACTTAACCTAACCAAATTGGGGAAGTTCTAAGACCACATATGCTGTACAGTACTATACATGGAAATAATAATAGCGAGAATACTGAAACTGAGGGAGTTGCCAGACCACTACACCGGCACAATAACCCAAAACAGCCTATCGCAGGCTATTTTGTCGTGACCGGTACTGTAGCCTATTCAGATACTACTATACTGTACACTGTATAGTTAAACACCAGCTAGTAGCATCCATTTCAAGGAGGGATTTGCTATCGCCATCACTTTATATCTACTCCTATGAAGTGAAAAGTAAGCTGAGGCAGCACAGTTCTGGCAAAATAACAAAAGATAGCACTGTCCTTTTTCTATTTCAACAGGTATATCCGTATATATTACTTACTGCTTTGTTCCTGCTACAATCTAGTGCAGTACTGTGATGACTTTAAGCTAATTAGAAAAGTAGTGGAGGCCTGGAGCCACAGCACACTTATCACATCACTGGAGTTGATTCAAAGTTACGGGAAGCAAATCACATCCTGAAATGGATTCCACTAAGAGTACATTGGTACCGGTTATATAATTTCATTGTAATCAGTTAGGTCATAAGAACTCAGGACTAAATTTGAAGTTCAACAAATATAGTACGCTCTTACATCAACAAGAGTGAACCAGCAGGTAAATGACCCCCGACAAATTAAAAGGTGGACAGCAGTCACTCCCTATTTGAAGTCGTGTTCAACGGGTTATTTCCCTTGTTACAGGAAGTCACTATTTCTACACATAACCACTCAAACACCACATCACTAAACACGGATGCCAGAATTAAGTTACACGGTCAACTGTGGATAACAATAAGTAGATATTACACCAGAAAGGCTGATATTCTTACTCTGCGGTGTGGTGTTGTCGTCCTGACGATCGTTGCCGCAACTGGGGTGACGTCCACAGCTGCTTTCCAAAATCACGATTACCACCCGCTACCACATAAAATATATCTATACAACACTATCATCACCTTTAAATTAAACACACACATTCAATCTTCACCGCATAATTAATTATTTATAGCTATATATATTATGTTTAGTGTTTTCGGCGTATCTTTGAGGTAAAGGAGGAGCGGCTAAACTAGAAAACGTTGAGTCCATGAAAACAAGTGGCACTAAGTAGAGTGATTCAGGCAATTCCCGTCCTTCCGGCCAACCACCGACCTATCCATACTGAGTACCATATACCACTGTCTTTTAATCCAATCCTCGATATTAGAGTCCCATTTACAGGAGAAATCTGAAATATGTTAACTATCAATCAATCAATAATAATGATGATACTGTATATGCTTTAAACGTGTCTAATATTTACCTGATGTAACAAAGAACATTTCAAATTCAAAGGTTGGTTACTTTGCGTGGGAATGTATTCAGAATATAAATACGAAACTAAAAAGTAATAGATTTTTCTATCACAGGTCCATTCTACTTTGCCTCGTACATTTCGACCTAAATCATTAATTTTCACTCGTTTCCCCATGACACTGAAATTTAACAAATTTTATTGCAAAACTTAATCACAGTTCAGTAACATATTGCATACATGAAGGCGTCTCCTAGACATGACTTCGGAACAAACAAAAAACAAAAACGGAGGGGAACCTGCTTGTTCCACGTCTATACGATGATTTTATTTCATTTTATTTCATTAACATTCAAAGTTCAGTATTAACTGTACTTTGAATTTTAATAAACATATTGATATTAAATGAAGAAAAAACAACTAATGGTAATTTTCTGTTAAAAAGGATTTTAAATGTACAAAACATTAAATAAATCAAATGACTGCGTCCTCCACATGACAATAACGTAAATGTTTAAATTGATACTGTTTATTGATAATATTGTCTGTATTTTGTAAAGCAAGGTTAAATTATTTACATTATTTTTTTATGAATATACACATACAACTAAGAATCCAAGTCTATTTTCAACAGATCATAATTACGCTACATTATGGCTGCCTGCAAAAAATATGAAAGTGTGTTCCATACAATGACTGCCCGTAATGGGCAGCGTGGATACAGCACACTGAATATTAGGGTTCTGTTACTTAAAGAGGCAGATTGGCTGACACTGCATTAGACTGTCTTTACTTCCTCACCTACAAAGGATAGGGGCAGTAAGTACTGTACACTACCGTCGCACCCCTCATGTGTACAGTACCTCCTAGTTTCCTACACTATCCCGGCCATGATAACAATGAGAATGTCAGAGGTATAAAACTGGAATACTGAAAGAGTGAAAGGGTAAGTTTAGCATTGTCACTTTCTCTGGCCATGAAACTTGACAACAGTTTCAGAAAGTGTGCCGGCATACTAAGGCTGACAGGAATGCCTCTAACAGTGGGAAACACCCTCGCCATAAAACAATAATCCAAAGTGTCAGAGTCAGTTATAATAACAATACAAATATAATTTGACTAGTCTGAGATATTTTTATATATCTTTACAATAATAATGATTAATAGCCATCCCCACTTCTGTAAATAATACTGCATCTTGTCTTCAACTTCTGTACACTAAACGTGCCAGGGAAGGCGAGAACGAAAATATGAATGCAAGTTTAATATATGTAATACTTCTGGCAGTATAACTTAAAAATTACACAATTTCAATTATATCTTGATTCGTCTTAACCTCTCCTTCATTACAAATACAACGCGTTCTTAAAATTCTTGAACGATTTTTTTTTACACAGAACAACTCGAGTCAAAAACTGTCTTGTGAGTATTTTGAGTGTGCACAATAGTTATCCAGTCTAAAGTTCGGACTCGAGATGAACAGGGTATAGTGTACGAAGTAAATAAATGAAAAAGTATATTAATATTACAGTAAAGAGATAAAGAATTAAGAAGTTGAATGAAAGTAACGAAAATTATGAAGTACTGAGAACATTATGAAACAGAATGAAGTAATACTAAAATGAGAAATGACATTAAGAAATAACTAAATGAAGAGCTGAGAATACGAATGACTTTCTAAGTATTGACAGTACTGAAAAAGGCTAATAATAATAATAGTAAATAAATACGAATTAAATAAAGAAATAAATGGGAGAATGTGAAATACAAAGTCAAACAAACATAATTACAATAAAATGGCATCCGTTCTTGGTATTTGATGGAGAGTAGAACATTACATTATACTGTGAATACTTCATAGGAAAATATTGGATCACCTGAAGATCCTCCCCACCCGCTTATTTCACGTACAAATTAACTACCCTAACGCTAACCTATTTAAACCTAATCTAATCACAACCCCCTTCCCTATAGTCATAAGGTGGTTAATCTTTTAGGTGGAATAAACTGGTGGGTGCAATCTTCAGATGATCGAAAACAGTTGCATCAGCCACACATATTCATTACATTATTATATCTCGTCTAAGCTTGATCAGTAATTACACATTATCCTGGGCCTTCTAAGGTAGTTTTAAATCCCCGTTAATTAGCCACAAATAAAAAAAAGAGAAGACTGTAAAGTGAAATTCTCATTCTTACCACTAAATTCTCATTAAGGCCGACATTTTTAAAGGTCAGACCAAAAACACGAGTATTTTACATGGGGTCTTGTAGGCGTGAACCTGTTTCCTAGTACTGGCGCACTTTAGTAGCCTATTAAAGGGGGAGGGAAGTGGCAGACGAACTGGTATCGCAAATCTAGTCAGTCACATTTGTTCTAAATTATTTTGGAATCATATACACAAACTGGATATAAATAAAACACCCTTTAAACTTATGAATACTGTATATGCAAAAAAATAAAATACTGTTGCCTTTAGCTAAGATTTACGTTATTTTATTAACCTATCTAAAATCATATACACAAACGCCACTGTAAATAACACGCCCTTCAATAAATGAATACTGTACACTATACAGTACATAATAAATAGCTTTAAACACATAAGGTGAACCAAATTCATTGTTTTCATTTATTGGGAGTTATTAACCTGTGTTATTCACCTCATTTAGTTTTAGTATTCTTGTAAAAACATGAAATTCATACGAGGATCTAATTCTACACAGCAAGAACACGTGCAAACAGTGCATAGTAAGTCCGTAGAGTTTATTGATGTGCCACTGCTTTTTTAAATCACACTGTCAAGGTACTGGGAGTTACTTTCTTCAATGTTGAAAAATATAAATGGTAATTATATGCCTTATAGACTGCGAATGAGTTCTTGAGGAAATTCACAATTGCATCATATTTTATTTTTTTTTATAGAAAACATATACATTATATTGATATTTTTCAAAGATTAAGAGATTTTGTGGGTTAGTGTCCTTGAGATGCTGGAGTTTGTCTCTGGGTGACTGACTTTAAGGTTAAACGCTGTCATGTGCTGACTGTCACAACTATTAAACTTTACACAAGCCACGTTATGAGTTATGTAGACCCATATGTTAGTTCCAAATACACTTGTCTCGTGTTTTATGATATAAAAGATGAAGACTGTCAACTAGTAATTTTTTGAGAGCAAACTTTCTTGCAATTTCTTACCACTGTGATCGAGAAATCTTGACATAACCTTTCCAGTTCCTCCACATGTAACACCGTTGCTTCTTCTCAGTTATTTCAAAATTCCTACAGGCAATAAAAATTTTAACCTTCACGTCACAATAACGGGGTCGACTACAGTATATAACCCCGTTCAATAATTTCCCGCCAGACAGGATCTATCCAGTCCGCCGTGTTGATGGCCAGACGTTCACCTCCAGTCCACGTGGATTTTTTCTTTATTTCAGCGTAGTCTGTGTTTTACTAGCCGTCTGCTTAGAGTTTCATGTTATATCGTCATCGGAAAATACGTTCACTTGCTCCTAATATAAAGAACTATTGAAGTACTCATAAACAAAAATCTAAGCATGTTGAAGTGTTAATGCATGTTTATATACTGTATATTGCGAGGAACACAGAGAAAGTTGTAAAGTTAGTAATAGTTTGATTACCTACTGGGCGGCTACTGAAGAAGTACCTGTTGCTCCGACACGAGAAAGTGGCATTACCACTTCGTCCTAAATATAGATATATTGGTCTGACAAATTTTGGTATAAGTGTCCGAACCATTGTGGAAATCGGAGCATTAATTATTGTAGATGCATGATTTTAAACGGTGGTGTATAATGTTCAGGAAAGGCTAATAAAACAGATACAGATGTCCAGTCTAATTTTTAAAATCAATATACTGTACAGACCTTCCACCAAAACATGTCGATACAATCAGTTCTCACGACTAGTCACTAGGATCTCATCTCCAAGTTAAAATGTGGTAAATGGGAAGAGATCGCTCATTTTCTCAATAGTGTGTTCGGAGGAGGGTGTAGCCAGCAGGGTTGAGTGGATGTGTTGGGGACTGGTAAGGACTCTCGCCCAGCCGCCGTCTGTCGCTAAGTGGAGGCAGTGGACCAATCTGAACTACAAACATAACTAATGCTTTATTATCCGTCATGAATTACCAGATAAGCGTATGCGTATACTTTTAAGAACAAGGAATAAATATTTCAAAAAAAAATAATAAACAAGTCCTAACACGTAGTGGTTTTTTGACAACTTGCATGGATTATTTAATATGAACAATATCTTATAGGAGCTCTTCAGTTTCTTATTCGAAATGAAAAATATCGCTGGGTATAAACATCGCTAAGTATAAACATGGTATAAAAGAAACGTTCGCAGTAAAATCCTCTCTGGCGACCCCCCGCAACATCCACCCCCAACCCCCCTCTTAATCTTCCACCACTCGTTCATAAACATACACCCAGCCCTAAATACAAGTGATATTTAAGTATCCTTGACCGAGCTTCCGCCGTTTTTACATACAGGGTTCCAAGAGTGAGGCAATATTTGTTTACTTCAATGCGGGTGCCAACTTTCCACCAGCGTGTTCAACTTAAGGAGGTGGCGGCAACTGAATAGGCCAGTGTGAGTCCTGCGGAGCCTCAGTTGATCGTGTGACTGTGACTTGGTAACCATGTCCCTGTCTCGATGTGTTTCCTCCGCCCTGAGAACTCGTCAAGCCCTACATAGGGTTGTTCTCCCTGTGGCGGCAGTAACTAGTGATGTTGTTAAGGTACTGAACCTGGCTGGCGAGTCTTATATTATTTTTGTGCTCATGATATTTTCGTGGTCAAATATTTTAACAAAGAAACAACGTAGCTACACAAAACGAACTAAATCACAATATAAGCCAAATAATATCCGAATCTTTGATATGTTATTGTGATGATGGAAAGTGCCGAAGCTGACTTGGGAGTACTTCAAATAGCCAAAACTTGGTAGCTTGATGCTAAGGTAGCCGGTTGTCTGCCGGCTGTGGTCAAGTTGCCAATTAACAGTTGACTAGTATTTTTAAGTAGTGACTATAGTACATGGTTCGAATTAAAAGTGCTAATGGTGCTTAACAACTGACTGGTAACCTAATGAACCACTGACACTGCTGTACAGATAACTAAAGTACGGTTGACAAAAACACAGACTTAATTATTTGCAGAGGTGACTGTAAAGGAGACTTGTGAGTTAGCCGTGTTGATAATGTCAAAACTCCTTCGATGATGTGATCACCTGTTTGTAGCGAGAGAATAATATAATTCTCCCGCGTTACCTCTTAAATGCTATAAGATAGGACACTGTTGACCTTATTCTTCTACACAGCAACACAGGTTTAGGGAATATAAATTGCGTTAAACCCTTTTTAAATACATTAGCTCCCTGTGTGCTTGCGACAACCTTTATATGACTAAGAACTGCATTGTTGATCTTGTGTGTGTGTGTGCAGATCTAAGTCTATATTATAGCCTAATCTATCTTTAGACTTACTAAACTAAACCACAGACTTAGTTTAATAACGTGGGTGACATCAATGCAACTTGTACATATTCAACTAATCTAACTTAAGCCTTGCGCTACCCGGATGTAAATGTCACCTTTCATAACACTACAGACTTAACCTCACATTATTTATTCAGGTGTGTGCTTGTGTGTGAGAGTAGCCTGGGCATCATCAGGGCGGGCAGTATATACTGTAAGTGCAACAGCCCCTGTTACTGCGGGCGATATGACTGCTCCAGCGTAATAGCGAAGAATTTTATTTTTTTACTTAACAGAAAGACATTAGCCTTTCCATCAGCTCGTTCCAAGACAACTTTGTATTCCTTGTGTTCCTCACACTCATTACTTGTAACTAGTGCGTTTAATTTGTATCTGAATTGAAGCACAAATGATGAAGGTGTCAGGCGCCGTCTGAATGTGTGGGTGTATCCTGTGACGTAGATCTTGTAAGCATTAATCCTCTGTTGTTGTTTCTTTTGGTGAAACTTGGTAAGAATAGTGTAAACAAGATCTCGGGTGTGTTTACATCTGGACAGTGACCACGTGTAAACCTACCCGGAGTGACCACAACACTAATAACTCATGAGACATAAAGGCAAGCATGAACTTAGCATGCTTCCTTGTTGGGCACTGTAAACGCTTCTGCGCTTCACTTTACACAAGGATGTAGGGGAGTGCCCAATAAAAACAAATAATAAAATAAATAAATAAATAAATAAATAATGTCACAAAATCATTTGTTTATCACACTATTTCATATATCTGAAGGAAATTATTGGTTTCTACCTTAACTACTCAAGGGTAATTACAGATTTTCGTATGAAAAGTTGGGAAGTAAAACGCACAAGAAGTTAAACTAGTCACCAGGAGCGGTGACTCAGATGCCTGCACCTCCTCACAAGTGCACCACAATCTACTCCCTGCCACACACTGTTGTCAGGCTATTACTGCGCCCCTGAGCTTAATTAATATACGTTTTTCGAGGAGTTACTTTACGGATGTACTTCTGTGAGTGAAAATGAGAGTACGTGTGTTGTGTTAACGTGTGTGGGTTACAGTTTGTGGGTATATGTATGTAATAAAAGGGGACAAGTGTGTAGAGATGACCGTGACAGGTAGATAGGTTAACTGGAATTAAATAATAGGTGAAAGTCCGCACGTACAAGGTGACGACCTGGCTGATTCACAATGTACACAAATGTATCTTTCCAGCGGCACACAAGCAAGTCACTACGTACACACATACACACAAACAATTAAATTACTCTGTGCATACAATTACCTCTGGTAAATATGGCGCTCACTGTCACATCAAACATCATTAGAAAGTGAACGTCCGTCGAGCGAATCAAAGACTGTCACCTGACGACACTGATCTTCTCAAACTAGTTTAGTTGGGTTCTTGCTATTTACATATTTCGTAGCTATTTGTTTGTCTGTATCTCTGTATTTTATGTAAATAGGTAAAACGTTTTTTTCCGCTATGCTGCAGGGTGGCCAGAACAAAAACTGTTCCTCCTTTCACGCGCTGTCATCAATTTACTCAAACTCTTTTACACCGCCATTCACCAGTGGCTGCCGTGGTCTCCAGTCAAGGGGGCAAGGCGGCTAACAGTGGATCAATGGAATCTTGCACTTGGAGAAACAAGCATGAAACATGACACAGAAATTAAGGAAAGGCACTCAGATGTATTAATATATGCCTAACATCATCCCTATGTTCCCACAATGTAAAGAACAAGTAATAAGGTCATAAAATCCAAGTATATGGACGGTCGTGAAGATTCAGACAGCTCACTCTTCTGGCGCTCCTCCAGTTACCACAAATATGTCTACCGTTGAAACATGTTATATTTTCACACTGACAGCTAAAGTTTTACCCTCGCTGATAACACTTTGAATGTAATTAAACTTGAACTATATCGTCGGCCTATATCTCCCCTGCACGAACCATCTGTTGTTACACCGACCTCTGTACTGTGTTTTATGCCAGGATGCTCTCTGTGTTTCCCATGAGCCATTTCATCACCTGACCCATCAGCAACACGGTCCAGTCTTAACATGACTGGTGCGATAGATCGGTCCTACAGTCTGCGATAACCACGGAGGTGACCGAGTGGTATGGCTGTACTGTACCGTACTTTGTTTCAGCATCCTTCCGTGTGCAGCGAGTCTGGCAAAACAGTTGTTCAAACCTGTATGTGGTGAACCAGAAGAACTTGTTTGACCAAGACTCGGTGTTAAAAAAAGTGGTTACAACTATACCCCACAATACAGCAAGTGTGTATGTGTATGTCTGTGTGTATAAGAAAAGCAGTTGATGGTGTAAAATAACAGCGGAATCAGAAGGAGGCGGAGTACCATTGGAAAACTAGGACTCATAATAATGTAAGTGAGCAGGACCAACGCAACAGTGGGTCAAGGTGGTGCCACGAGATAAGACCAACAACAGTGACTCTCAGATGGTGGAATGACATTATATTAGAAAGTGTGGAGGCGCTCAGTGGGTAGGGTGAGCTATATACACGATTATGTGAGTATATAAGGGATCTTCACATACATACACACACACGGACAACCACTCACACACATACATATATATACTTAAACACACATACACACACGGAAAAACTCGCACACAAGCACACACTTGCAGTAGGCCAAGGTGGGTGTGAGACTACACACCCTTGAACAGGATTCATGGCTCCTCACGTACTTAGGTTTGATTTATTGATCAATCAGTGAGCAAACTGATCACCACATCTACTACTTTAGTTTGATTTGTTGGCCAATCAGCGAGCATTTCTATTACTTTCGGTTTAATTTATTGGTCAATCAGTGAGCATTTCATTTACTTTAGCTTAATTTATTGACCAATCAGTGAACATTTATTTGACTATATTCTCTTCGCCACTTAATTGTCTTCCCTTTCTTACTCGTTATCTTATTTTTCCTACCGCTTTCTCCCCTTCGTTATCTTATTGTTTTCACTTTTATTTCGGTTTCATGTTGTTTATCAAGTGTGTGCGCGCGTTTTCTAATGTCACTGAAGTCTTATAAAAATTATCTTAATAAAATGGTGCGTTTCATACGGGTTACTGATGACATTTGGAAGGTATAAGAATCCGTTTTCTTTTTATAGTATAATAATTCCAGCATTATCACAATCCCTACCATAACCACCACCATAAATCCCTACCACAACCACTAGCACCATAACCCCTACCACAATCACCATAATCACAACCACCCATCTCCATACTACCACACCACCATTACCATAATAAATCAATAATATAATCACCATCATAACTAAAAAATAATAATAATTTCAACCATTCTCTCTACAGGCCAGCGCGGTAGACTGGAGAGCTGGCGCGTGTATGGCTCCATTGCAGGTGAGTTAACAAAGTATAAGAGAAAATGAATATCTTCCTCACTGCAAGCAAGCAAGAGAGAGAATCTTCAGGTGATCTCAAGAAACTGTATATCCGGCCCAGCAGCCTGTGTTCATTTGACGCTGATGCTTATATAAAAACATGTACTAGTGTCAGTACCAGAGAGATGAAATGTTTAATTTAAATTGATTAGTGTAAAAACTTAATGGCATACTCGCTTAGGGAACTTGGCTGTTGAAGCGTAGTAATTAATACATCATAACATCAACATTTATATATCGTCAGAGTCAAGTGACGGCGGTGAGGGAGTACAGTAAGCGAGTCAGTGCACGAAGACAGGCCAGGTCGTCCTCCTCCTCAGATTCTTCCGATTCTGACCGTGGCGTCGGTAGAGGCAAGCGGGCCCTGAGGGTGAGTACCTTTGTGTTTTTTTTATAGGATGACAGTCGATATTTATCCTACAGATACAGGGCTCACCTCGTGTTTTAAGGGTAGCTGGTTCGATTCTAGGGCACTTCAAATCCACCCACCCAACACCAACTGACACTTCACCTCCATCTGACCCACCACCACTTGACCCACCACCACCACCATCACCTGATCATCCACCACCACCACTACATCTAACCTCACATCACACATCGAATACTAAATAAATCTGATCTGACTTTCTATTATTTATATAGCCGGGATTAATGCAGTTCTCTTCCCTGCTATTTTAGTTTATTTTCTATTATTTTATATGTTAATAATAATAATTTACAAGTTACATAAATAAAATAATAAAACAAAGAGAATACTGACCAAGTAAATGGTTATAACGCGGTCAGCTCATTTATCTCATTACTCTAGTTTTTGTTTGGTTGTTTGTGATAATAAAAACAGGTTACTTATTCTACCTCGTAATGCTATACTTATAAAGAAGTCGGTATAAGTGTCTTTTGTCCTTTCTTACTTAAGCCACGTCGCAAAATATTAATACTGTATCTTGGTAGTGGTTTTCGATGTCGTAATATTAGTAAAATGTGTGTGTGTGTGTGTGTTTAATCATTTCATTTCTGACCATAAACTAAGTTACAGGAAGATACAAACTTCAATTTAATAAAGAAGGAAGCCTAATGTTTTGTTATTGTACTTACATACGCGGGTCTCGTCTCACCAGTTGTAAAAGTCCTTGAGAAGTTGCGTTACTCAGTCTGTTCTTCAGTGCGGCGTCTGACTGTAGAACGACCGAGAATTATTTACTAGTCACAAACACAAAATAATATAACAAAGACGAATATAATAGCATAGAAATTAATCTGTTTACAATAAAAGAAAATATACACATAAAATTAGAACATAGATCAAAACAACATCAGTATGCTAGGTGCTTCACGATATGTTTACAAACACTTCTCACTGGTAACATCTGGCAACGATTAAAGACGCAAGTACGCGTTTTTAATTGGAACAGGAAAGAACAACAGAGACAGAAACAACAACATACAAGAATATCTATCGAGTGTCTTATCTCTTAATAATGTGAGGCATCAATGCTTGTATAAAAAAAAAACGTCCAGGATACAGACATTAACGTTCAACTCGGTGTTCACGATACAAAAAACTCACCCGACTGGTACCCGGTAGTGTGTGTGTGTGTGTGTGTGTGGCGGGCGCTGTAAGACATTATAAGCACAAGATAACTTTACCTCTCCCGCTATGGTGGTCCTGTCAAACAACATATCGGTTTATAGGGTGATTGAAGGACAACTAGAGCTTCAGGATGCGATAAATAAACTGGTTATGCAGGGTTGTTCTCAGGCAGGAAAAAATAAATAAATTATAAGCTCATAGTGTGTCATTACAAGTTTCTCACAGTAAATATCCACGAGACGGGAAAACCTAACACTTGGTCAATACCGATAAGAACTACGAGCTTAATATTTTCTTATATCAATCATTCTTATCTCAAAATATTATCCGTGAATATTTTCTCATATTTTAAATAATTATTTTTGACTTTCAGTAACTACATTAAAATTACCTTTAGATTCCAAGATGAAATTGATTCATCCAATCCCGGTAATTTAATCAGTATTTACCCAGCAACACCTTTTATATCTTGCATTAGGTACGGTACTAGTTTCAAAGCACAGTCCTACGTGACCACAGTTCAGACGGCGTAATATCATTGCGTTCGTGGGTGCGGATACGATACGAATATACAGTTAATAAAAAATAATATATCAACTACGACAAGCTTGACGATAGGTTTAGAACAAGCAGAGACATCAAAAACTTCCAAGCAATGTTATGTATGAGCGCTGAGGACGGGAAACTCCAACGTGGAAACAAGAAGTAATCCTAGTAAGTCAACCAGGATTCGAACACCTGCCTTTTACCGGAAACCTCTTGGAGGGGAAACTTTACGAAAGCTTTCTAAAAAATAACTCATACGTACTATTCCTGCAATGACTTATTATAACTGTCTCTCTCCTGCTGACTTATGACCAAACAAAATATTTCTATTTTCACGTTTGACATTGATATATATACTATCTGGTCTGCGTCACGTTCGATTTCCTTACTTTAATATTAATTGGAGATTTCATAAAAATTTTGCAATATAATTATGTTATTTTTGTCGTAGTATTTTTGCTTAATACTAATTCGTTTTTTTTTAATCATCGATCTCTCCCATAGCATAATATTACTAATCGTAGTACAGTACATGTATATTTTCTTTTAAATAAACTTGCCTACACACGCACGTAGTCCAGCGCCATATAACTGTCAGTGTAAACCTTTGAACAAGAGTTATAGCGCCCGCGGTACGCTATTTGTGGTAAGAATTCACACATCCTTGATGGTACGTTCTTTGTTCAACGGGCCGCGTTCATTACGTTTATTGCGGATAATGTATAAATAATGTTTGATTCAGAAACATTACCTAGACAGAGAGAATACGAAGTTAAAGTTGCCAGCAAACGAACCGAAAAATGGCAGATCTTATTTAATGTGTGGAAATGTAAGGTTCTAAAGCTCGGAAATGAAAACGGAAAAACACATTTAGAGGAATCAGATTGTGAGAACGATTTAGGGGTAATGATAAGTAGGTGGGGCTGGTGGTCAAGCTCATATGAAGAGTGGTGATGGTAATGTTGGTATTGGTGGTGGCAGCCATAATAATATTTAACCGTGAAGTAACCTATAATTGGTTAGGTTTGGTTAAGGTCATGTCAGGTCACGTTAGGTTATGTTAAGGTTACACTAGGACTAGGTTAACATTACTGTATGTTGGGTTAAATGTAATATTAGGTTAATGTGACTTATATTTTGTTAATGTTAGGTTATGGTTATGATAGGTTAAGATTGTGTTAGGTTAATATTATGTTAGGTTACCGTTACGGCTCTAGACAGTGACGGTCATCGGCAGGTATACCTCAGCAGCCGGGTCCAAACTGAATACCAGAACATTACCCTAAGTTTTATAAGGACAGTGTTAATATAGACCAGCAAATCTTTATAGGGTAGAGAAGGGTAATTGGTCAATTTTTAGTAGACGACATAATTCGATATTGTTTTTGTTTTTCTGATGGTGAGTTCAGACAAAAACAAGACGATTCTTATCTATTCGCACTTTTGGCGCATTTTACCCATAACCGAGGTATCGTGAGTTAAAAATCAGAAAACCTGCCACTCAGGTACAGAAAGTGACAGCTACAGTCAGAAGCTGGTGGGTCATGCAGGTCAACACTGACAATGAGGTTACGTCACCGATGTTTATTATTTCACCTTTGCATCGGTGAGAATTTTTAGAGCGATGCAAGTGTACCTTTCCTTAGCGAGTGACTGTGGGTGGGGGGACTATTCTTCACGTGATCCAACAAAAGTATCGTACAAGAGTGCAAACTGGCTTTCTTGTTCACATCGTGCGTGTGTTAGTGGTGGTGGTGGTGGCAGTGACGGCCAATCAATTACGTATGGTCCACAATTCCACTTACCACTACCACCATCTACTGCTGTTGCCATTCTCCCAACACCACACAGATAGCAGCCGGACTCACCGCTACCCAGGGCAAAAGAGTATCGAGCGATTATTTAGCCTTGTTGTCAGGGTGAAACCGAGTTGGTGGGAGTTTAAAAAATAATAAAATACAAAAATATATTACCTCCTGCGCGTACCATAAAAGGTCCTCCCTCCATCCCACACCCTCATCACGCCTCCCCATCCCACCGATAATCACGTGAAGATTAGACACCCCAGCTTATTTCACCTCAAGATAAGACACCCACACGATAACTTATTTTAATCCAAACTAACCCCCCAGGTAGTGTTAGGGGAGTTCAACCTCAAGTACACAAACACCATTCTGTAATATCATCATCACATCATCTTATACCAAAACAAAGCGACAAGTCACACGTCCATTCCACTTGTCATTGAGGTTGGGGGTTCAGTGACCTCTGAGAGTGATGGAAGGCGAATGATAAAACAATAACAGGGTTGTATTGTTACCTGCAGAGACAATCTCTCTCTCTCTCTCTCTCTCTCTCTCTCTCTCTCTCTCTCTCTCTCTCTCTCCACCTTTGCCTGCAGAAGGATGCTTAATGCAGCGACCTCTAGTCTGTTTGTATGTTTATTATGTGGGATCGTTCGTGTGTATGTTGTGTGAGTTTAGGCTTGTGTATAATTAAAATAAAAGCAATAATAGTAATGACAATAACAATAATAACCAATAATAATAATAATAATAATAATAATAATAATAATAATAATAATAATAACTATAATATAAACTTTATTGCTAAAATTAGGTACGTAGCCCCATTAGACCTCAAGGGCAAAGAGACTGATATGATGCACGTGCATGGGTGAGTGTATGTTTGTGGACGTTGTGTGTGACCTTATCCATGTGTATGTGTGGCTGAGTGCATGTTTGTTTACACGTAGGCGACGAGTGTATGCATGCGTGGATGAGTTAGTTACATTACAAGTATTACTAAGAATTACACACACTGTGTAACCAGTCATTTCAATGTAATAACTCAAGAGTGCTTGAAAGCAATGTATGTAATGATAAGGTTGAGTGAGACGAGTAATTCCGTGAAATAACTGGTTACACACACACACACACACACACACTCACACACACACACACACACACACACACACACACACACACACACACACACACACACACACACACACATAAAATACCTCTGCAGCATACATCCAGAACACGACATTCATACAACGTAATCATCTCCATTTTATATGATTGTTTTTATCACCATCAAGGGCGCCGCTGCCGCTGTGTACGTGTCTGGTCCCGGCGCCTCACTCATATGACCTCATTCCTAACCTAACCACTAAGGTGAATCTCTATTAAAAATATATTAATAATAATTCAAGTGTCACGTGTAGT